TATATATATATATATATGCACACACACATATGTAGTACTTTTTGTAATAAATTCAAATAAAATGTGTTGCTTAAATATATAAGCAATTTAAAATTTCATTTGTTTAAACTAATTGATAAACAATTTATAAATCTCTATTTTATTTAAATATGTAATTTATTTAAAATGATTTTAAATGTAGCAAAATTTATTTAGAAAATCGTATCGATCATACCAGTTCAACCAACTGGTGTTGACGGATTCGATAGAAAATATTTTATTCAAGCGAACTAGATTGATTATAAACCAGTTCTCGGTCCACCCGGTCGGACTGTGACCAAACACAGTTTAATTTGAAATAATGGATATTGATTAATGTTATTTATATATCTAATTTATAACATAATCATAATATTATTTTTTCGTGCGATGCACGGGCCACGCACTAGTTAGAAATAAGTTCGAATGTGCATATAATTATTCAATTGTATACATTAGAATAAAATTATTAGAAAATCTGAAGCATACAAAGGACTTTGTTCAAATTTTTGAATGGGCTCACTATTTATGGTTTGAAGTAACTCAAATAAAAGCATTACTTTGCCAAGCCCAATACTCAAACAATTAGCCCAAGAAAAAATAAAACTAATAGAAGAAAAGAAAAATTATAGAAACAAACGGAGAGTATACTGTATATCTATATGCCTAGCTTTACATATACTATGAAGCAAAGATTTGAACTTTGAGGATATCATGTAAAGATTGTCGAGAAATCCTAAATTCTTCACTTCACAAACTCGCCATTGATCGTTCAATAAAATCATCAAAGGTAACGTACGTTTGTGAGCTGAAATAATCATGCACAGAAACTGTTCGATAAAATGCCAAAAAGTTAGTTATACACTTGTCCAAATCAAATTTCACAAAATAGCCCGCTTAACAAATCCCCCTCAAATGTGGTTCTTTCAACAGCGAAGCTCAAGGAGAGCCTCTCATATCCCCCACCCTCGTCCCGATACTCATTCAACACACAACATCATCAAAACATCCCCCAAATTACACTCAAACCTCATTTTCATTTACCTCTTCTCTCATCTTCTTCAAGTCCATAAATTCAAATACATAAAAAGAAATAACCGAAAACCAAAAAAATGTCGAAATTCGACCCGTACGACCATCTCAACGTCTCCCTCAACCCGGACGGCTCCCTCACCCGCTTCATCAAGCTCCCGACCTCCGCCGCCACCGACGAGAGCCCACATGCCGCCGCCGCCCACTCTGCCCTCAGTCGAGACGCCCAGCTCGACCCGACTCGAAAAACATGGGTTCGGGTCTACCGCCCGACCCGACTACCCTCAAACGACACGTCTGTGGCTCGACTCCCAATCGTCGTCTACTTCCACCCAGGCGGGTGGGTCCACATGAGCATTGCTAACACCATGATCCACGAGGCGAACAACCGCATGTCTGCCGAGATACCTGCAATTGTGGTGGCCGTCGAGTTCCGACTCGCCCCGGAGAGCCGCCTCCCGGCACAGTACGAGGACGCCGTGGAAGCCGTCACCTGGGTCCGTGACCAATTGGCTGCCGGCCGAGATGGCGGCGCCGGCCAGTGGATCAGGGATTATGGCGACTTTTCCAGGTTCGGCCACATCATCGATGAAATTTTGTCTATACATTAATACAATCAGTGTTTTAAAAAGCATTTTGTTAGTAGCATGAAATGACGTAGAAAATTTTCGAAATCACGATGTGTTATTTAAAATTTCGTGTTTTACTGGAATACTTATACGAAAATTATCATTTTCGAAAATTTTCAAAAGATCAAAATTATCTTAAAACTTATCATTTTCTATTGTCATAAAAACATGTTGGTGAAAAATATAAAAAAAAAAAAATGATTTCAAACTAAAGGCGTTTAATTTAAACTTATTGTCATACTTTAATATTTTAGATTAAATTATTCATGATAGTTTCATTGTTAAATAGTCATACTAAGATATTCATATCTAATCGTTTGTACATAATAATACATTAATGTTGATATTGTTCGAATTCAATATTAATGTTAATACACTTTTATCTAACTTAAACGTTTATTTACTATAAAAACCAAGACGCGATGCATTTTTTCGCATATAACTTTCGATTTGTGTGTTTTTCTTTTCTAGATGCTATCTCTACGGTGTGAGCTGCGGCGCGAACATCGCCTTCAACGCGGCCCTCCGAATCCAAGAGCTCGACCTGAAGCCGTTGACTATCTCTGGCATAATCCTTAACCAGCCGTTTTTCGGGTCAAAGCAACGAACTAAAAGCGAGCTAAAATCGGCCACGGACCCGTACTTCCCGCTGCCCGTGCAGGACCTTCTGTGGGAGCTGGCGCTGCCCGTCGGGACTGATCGGGACCACCGGTTTTGCAACCCGTTTGCGGACAAGCCGACTCGGGATAAAGTGAAGCGGTTCGGGAGGTGCCTTGTGATCGGGTTCGGTGGGGACCCGTTGGTCGACCGGCAGCAAGCGTTTGTTCAGATGCTCGTGGAGGAAGGAGTGCCGGTCGAGGCGCGGTTCGATGATGTCGGGTTTCACGGGATAGATATGATCGATGGCAGGCGAGCTTCGGCCATTCTTGGTTTTATAAAGGAGTTTGTTTGAGTTTTGATTTGGTTTTTTTGAGATTTTTTTATTTATTTATTTTCTTATTATTGATTTAGATTTAGTAGTATTGTTGCTCGCACGACTTTATCTAGAATAAAGGGGACGTTGTTATCAATTTAGGTCACGAAATGTTGGTTTAGTTTTCAAAAAAGATTTGTAAATCATGAATCTAAGACGTTTGTGTTTATCAGTCAATGGCGGGAAAGATTGGTCAACTATCGATTCACAAATTTGAAAGATAAAATCTATGGAGCTTTCATAAAACTAATAATGCAGTGTTGTTATTTAGAATTATGGTTGATTATATGGTTGCTTTTGTTTTTGTTTGATCTGCTTCTCATTTGTTGATTTTGAAGTATAGTTGGCATTGATATGAAATGTTATACCGACCGTATGAGCTTTTGGAAAAAAGCGATATGTTATGTGTTACGGTATTAATATGAAATGTTATATGACATGATTAAGTTTTGTAATTTTGTTGGAATTTTATTCTTATGTGGAAACCGCTGTATTCGAGGAACATTCATATTAAATAATTGAGAACTAAAATCGAATAAAAACGGAATCGTACTTGAATTCATTTTTCTAAGAATTCTTACATTCTTTAGTTTGCTGGAGTGTTGCGTTCTTCCAAACGATCTTGTTGGACTGGTATGGTCTTCCAAACAATCCAACCTTATAGCAAGTTTTGATCTCTAGTGTTTGTATGGTGTATGTATCTTTATGAGTTATCAATAATAGTTATAATGACTCCAATTAAATGCCTCAATGTTAAATCCAGCGAGCATACTATTCGAAGTATTTTAAGATATAGGATAGGATAGAGGGTGTATTTTAAATAAATTATTTTATTTTAATGTCATATTAAAATTCATTAAAATTGCATATACACTTATTATAATAAATTTAATACTTTTCATCTAATTAATTGATCATGATCTATCAAAATTACAAAAAGTACAGTATTTATTAAATTTTAACAATCAATACAGTGATTAATATGCTGTTGTATCGATATGTACTACTTATTTAATCCATAATTAAATTTTAAAAACATAATATTATTATTAAATTTATAATTTTAATATTATATTTTTAAATATAATTTATAATATTGTCTGTTTAAATATAATATTATTATCTGACTTATAATTTAACATGTATGTATATAAGTAAATTATAATACTGTATTTGCATCACAAATACTAGTTTTAATTGAATAGCGTTTTATTTTGGTTTCTCTATGTCATTTAGGACTTAAGTCTATTTATATGCCACGTAGGTAAAATTAGATCAATACAAAAAAACACGTGGACCTATTGTTAAACACAATTGTCATGCTCGAAACGAGGCGCCCAACAAATTAGTTAATCATTATATTATCTTTATTATATTTAATTACTTTGACCAAATAAAGTAAATTTATGGCAACTACTTATACATGTTTCTCAGATAATTTCTAAATCTTAGCCGAATTAGAAAACTTTCCACCATGAACTTTGGCAGAGGAGGCGACGCGCCGCCGTCGAACGGCGGAGAGTTCCTCCTCCAGCTCCTCCGCAGACCGCCGAACCCAAGCCCTCACACCCAGATGCCACGGAAGCATCCCTCTCAAACGCCATCTCAGGACCCCGCCGTCGCGGCGGTCGGCCCAACAATCCCCGCTTTCTACCTGCCGCACGCCGCGGCGTTACCTACCGACGGCCGCGGCGTCCCTTGCGGCGCGTGGAATAACTCTAATTCGCCGCCATTTGCTCCGCACAATTATTTCCCGCAAAACCCTAATGCGAACCCTAATTTAAACCCTGGTTTCTTCTCGTCACTGGGGGGTTTCAGTAACAATCAGAACCAATTCAAGCTCCAGTCTGGTCGCGCTCCCGCCATTGATGATGCAAGGAAACTAGGGTCGCACGCGGGAAATTACAGCTCGCATAATCATCAGCAGGGTCAAAATCTCGTATTCGGATCTCTGAATATTGATGTGCCGCAGGGTAATGTTGGGGATGTTTTGCGTCAGAGCTTGTATGGGAATAACAAGCCTGCAAAATCCCATTCGGAGGAGAGAGTGGGAATGGATGGAAGACCTAACAGTCGTCCGGTAAATCCTGTCGAGGTCAATGGCGGTGCACGAGAAAATTCTACTGCATTCAGAGGTTACGAACAAGAAAAAAGCAGTAATAGTAACAGCAGGTTAAACAGGGGACATAATGGGAAACATAAGGTGGTGGGGCCCGTGGTGGAGCCACCAGGGTTTTCAAGGAATGTAAAGAATGTGAAGAGCAGGGAGTATGGTTTTGGTGGGAGGACTTCTGATCGTAATGTGGATAAAGCTAAGGTTAGTTCAGGTGATATGTATAAGAATGATAGACTTAGTAATCAGCTGGAATCCCCTGGCTCACCTGCTGGAAGTAACTTTCAGTCTGTTCGGGCCGTTGATATTGAGAAGTCAATCATGGATCTCCATTGTTCTGAACCTGAAGAATTGAGATATGATGGCGGGGATAAGATGGGCCGAGATCGTAGGGTGAGTGAGATGAATGGTTTGGATCAGCTTGTGGATTCTTTGGCTCTTGAAGACAATTCTGGTGAGAAGAGACTTGAAGATGAATCTGATAAAAAGAACTTAAAGAAGCATTATCGAGACAAGGTATATTCAGTCTTATGTCTTGTTGGAAAGTGGAATCAGAACATAACAAATTGAATAAGATACAATAGCATAATTAATATGACTCATTAATGTCTTGGTGGTAGTTAATTCGGGTATTTGACTGCTGGTTATTATGTGCTGCTATGTGGGAATGATTCATTTGCCTTTGCTCTTATTGTTATGGACACCAGAACTCTGAGTAGATTTTATACATTATATAAAAATATTATTATGGTACCATTCAGAAAATGACTACTGAAAACTTTTCTGTTACAGATTTGGGGTGTGGACTGTGGAAACAGATTTTATGCTAAATGTTACTTCTGATAATTTTGGGTCACTATTCATATTTATGACAAACATCATCACATTGAGACAGATGTAACCATACATTTATATCTTGGACTTATCTGTTTTTCTCATTCTTGGGCTCAAGCACAACCTTTTTCTCTTGATTATACTTTGCTTGCTAGATTCACATACGAACTTAAAAAATTCCTAGTGAAGCCGTGAAAAGAAAACCAGGCAACTTAAATAGCTAAAGACTGCCATGTCATCCTACTACATTGTCACAAAGTTAATTGCTGTTGATCATTTTTTTTTTCATTCACTGATGGATATCCAATATGATCTGGCAACTAAAACCTCCACAAATTGAGGCCACCCAAATGGTCTGTCCTTAATTGATCTGGAGTATCCCGCTTCTATTTGTACAATTGATATAGGAATTCAACCACGCTTCCCCTTTTTTGGTCTTTTTTTGTCATGTCTAGTTAAGTGAAAGACTCTTGTTCTATCATCCGCTTGGTGCTAGAACCCTTTTCATTGTAATTTTTTTCAACTTTTATCTACTTTTTTAAAAAATATGGCTTATAAAATAAACTCATGATTACCTTACATAATGCAATAAGAGACTATAATACATTGAACTCACGATATTTTTATTCAGCATCAACTTATATTATATTTACATTAAGAGGTCCTGTGCCTAGCCGATTTTGTAGAAGGATGTCAAGCTGAAGTTGATGTGTTGATTTCATTTGCTCGATACTTCTAGAAATAAAAATTAGAGATCATTTTGAACTCACACGTGTTTCCTTATTGTAAGAAATATTACTCCACTTCAGACTTGTCTTAACAGTTAAACTTCGGTTGTCTTTTTCCTCCCAAAGCTTTGAGGATTTGAGAATGGATGCAATGGATGTGAACTTTATTATCTTGGTAGCTAAGCTATGCTATTTTGCAATCAGGATTACAGATCGGACAAGAGGGGGCAGTGGATAATGGGTCAGAGGATGAGAATTGTTAGAAGCCGAACAACATGTCGAAATGATATAAACAGGCTGAGTGCCCCATTTTTAACCGTGTTTGAGTCTTTAATCCCTGCTGAAGAAGAAACACTCAAGCAGAAACAGTTATTGACGGTACTGGAAAAGCTTGTTCGGAAAGAGTGGCCTGAGGCTCAATTATATCTTTATGGATCCTGTGCCAATTCATTTGGCTTTCCAAAAAGTGATATTGATGTTTGCCTTCAAATGGATCTTGGGGATAATGAAAAGTCTGAGGTTTTGCTAAAGCTGGCAGAGATATTACAGTCGGACAATCTGCAGAATGTGCAGGTAACCTACTTGTGCCATTTTTAAAAATTCAGTATTAATTTAGTTATAGTTGTTTAGATTAAGGTCGCAAGTTTGTTTCTATGGTGGTAAGAATGAAGCCCACATATGATTGTTGATGTGTGTGACATAAATTGGCCCGTTTAGTGTCTGGTCTTGCTTGTCTTATAACGGTTAAACTTGAATAATCACTTCATAAATGTTCACATTCATGTTTCTAGTGCAGGCACTTATACGCGCTAGAGTTCCTGTTGTTAAGCTCATGGATCCAGCTACCGGTATTTCATGCGATATTTGTATAAACAATATGCTGGCTGTTGTGAATACAAAACTGCTCCATGATTATGCATGCATTGATGTAAGACTCAGGCAGTTGGCATTCATTGTCAAACACTGGGCTAAATCACGAGGAGTTAACCAAACTTACCAAGGAACACTCTCTAGTTATGCGTGAGTTTTTTTTTTAGTTTAAACAATCAATTCCTATTTTCAGCTTTCCTGAATAACCTTTAAGAGAGATGTTTATATATACTTGGATTTTGTTGCAGGTATGTGTTAATGTGCATTCATTTCTTGCAACAGCGTAGGCCTGCCATACTTCCTTGCTTACAGGTAAATGAGCGAGTTCAATAATCAAGTGCAATTGCCTTTTTTCTTTTCTGCTTTCTTTACCTCTGAATTTGTCTTTGTACATGGCATGCCACAATAAGCTCTTGTTCTCATAGGATCCTTTGGTAACTATTGCTTTACAGTAGAACACTTACAACACAATGCTGTGGCTCACATTTCTGTCCAGTGTCCACTGTTGATGAGATTTATATTTTCACGTGATTCAAACAAATACTGCGGTTTTGTATTTGCAAGCATTTTCTTGTTTTGGGCTTGGCCATGGTTGATGGTACTTCAACTTCCGTCGTTTCTGGTCTTCTGACAGGAGATGGAGACTACTTATTTTGCGACTGTTGAAACTGTTGAATGTGCTTATTTTGATCAAGTGGAGAAGCTGCAAAACTATGGGTCCCGGAATGGGGAAAGTATTGCTCAGTTGGTCTGGGCCTTTTTCCACTACTGGGCTTATTGTCATGATTATGCTAATGACGTTATATCAGTTCGTACTGGAATCACACTGAGGTAAAAGTTAAACTGAGAAAAAAAAAAAAAATGAAATGAAATGAAGTGATTATAACAAACACACATTATTATTATAATTATTATTAGTTTTTCACTATCTTGTGATGTAGTTTTGGCAGAATATCTGATAAAATATCCTCGTGCTTTCACAGTAAGAGAACTAAAGACTGGACCAGAAGAGTTGGGAATGATCGACACTTGATATGCATAGAGGACCCATTTGAGTTATCTCATGATCTTGGTCGTGTGGTGGACAAACACAGCATAAGGGTCATTCGTGAAGAGTTTGAACGTGCTGCCGAAATCATGCAGTACGATTCTAACCCTTGTGTGACTTTGTTCAAGCCCTATGCACCAAGTTAATATTAATCTCAGTTTGTGTGAAATGAAATCTACTGATGAGTCTCTTTTGTGTATATATATATCCATTATCCCTTTTGAGATGCTGTAAGAAATATTTGTCTATGGGGTTAAGTTTAGTTAAGTGTCGCAATATATCATCTAAAATTCCAACGTAAGTTATACTTGGATTCATATTTTCAGAACTAGCTAAAACTATGTGTGACATTTGAATCGACCAGGGGTTTAATTGGCTTTAAGAGTTTTGAGTCTTATAATATTAGGGCTTCTAATGTTTCATAATTGGATTTTGCACATCAGATGTGATATCACTTGCAGCTCCAAATTGTTTCACAAATGGGTCTATATGCAGATGTAGAAAATTAGAAATCGACTTGTCTGTATAATCCTCATTTTATACAGGAAAAGTCGCATATTTTTTCGCTCGCTCGGTTGAGAGTCTCGAGATTATGTCCCTTTATTTTCTCTTGCTGTAGTGAACTACTCAAATCACAATAGCCATGTTCTTTCAATTTTTATTTTTTTTACTTTTTTTTTTCTTATTAGGATTACATCAATTCAATAGCCATGTTCTTTTTTTTTTTTTTTTTTTTTT